GACATGTTTATGCCCTTTCATATATCTATAACATAAAATATGGTCGTGATGTTCACTAATATATTATGCCTTTTCATGAATCTAGAACATAAATTATGTTCGTGATGTTCACTAATATGTTTATGCCCTTTTATAAATCTAGAACATAAAATGAGGTTATGTATTCGTATTCATCAATCAAAGGCGCACACATTGCCCAATCGAGACAAACGCGTTGATCCTTTCTGTTGGTAGGGTTTATAAATTTTCTGGGAACTTTCAACAGAAATTATGATGAACGAACTCTATTGGCGTTACAGTATATTTGCCCGAAAAACGGAATTGTGTCGGTTATAATCGTGAATGTCTAGTCTTGTATATTTCATTTAGTACATGAAATTACAAAGAGTGAATACTTAATGTATTCCAGTCAATTTCTGTACTATTATTTGTATATGATTTTCTTTAATGGTTCTCTTTAAAATGTCAAAATGGCGAGCTTGTATGTTACTTAGTAACACGCGCCGTAGATAACAGATAACAGGTGTGGCATTGCAACTGATAAAATAAGAACACTTAGTTAAAGTACATTGTTGTCTACATTTACCTTACTATTTTGGTTATTCTTTGAAATGTACGATATTGATACCCATATCGACACACAACACCGATGAATACCATGTGTACTAAATTACTGCTATAGAATGCAGATGCAGAGGCAGGGACAAACAGGTTTTAAAATAATACTGGTAATATTTACTTACTTAGCGGAATTCAAGTAACTACCTGACAGGGGGCATGCTGTTTAGATACAAGACTATGTGAGAGACTGTTTGTCTTTGCTGTACTTTATTTATCGGGCGACAATGAGCAAGATTATAGATTGCAGTGTGCGTGCCTATACCCAGACATGCGTGTCTGTATATGAGACGTAGTTCTATGAATTTGACAATATCCGTTGATGTTCATTTAGTTTGGCTAACAGAAAAAGGTTAATGTGCCAATGAGAAAACATAAAATGCAGACGAAAAAAAAAACTTCATGAAAGAATCTGTACAAAACTTTACAGAGGCAAAATAACACATTTACCCATAAATGCCCGAAAAAATCTTATCGACAACATAAGTCACATGACACAACACTGAACAAACTATAGACATGCACGTATACTTCCATATTAGTTTGGAATTTTGTTAACTACCAGGTTTGAATAAAAACATGCCTAAGATAGCTGCATAATTTAGATGACGTCATACTGACACGGTGATACGCGTGAGCCATTATATTCATATACTCGACTGGGTAAATAAATGTTTCTTTGTTTTTTATATTTATTTTAACATTTAGTGGGTTGTGGAAACAGCTAAAATAGCTACGCTGTCAGATAATGCAGAACAATGACTATTTCATGTACTTGTTCCCCTTGTTCACAATATCAAGCCCGTACTTATATCAGCACTCCAGCAAGGCGGCAGGGCAAGATTGTGGTGCCCTTTATCCTGTATGTAATCACATGTTATATCGGACCAGGTGCCCACAGTACGAGTATTAAAAGTATACGTGGAACACTAAAACAATAACACGTAATTTTAGAACAACGTGAATTCATTAGAGTGTGAGATAATGCACTAACGCTAGGATAGCATGCACGTTCTTCGTGACATCATTGTCACCATATGCGATACAAGAAATCAACTAGATGATTTATGCATGAAACAAAACATTATTATATTTTGGTAAATTCCCATTGTTTAAACAAATTATCGTATTGGTGTCATTTACTTACGCAATTTTTTTTGCCATGTTTGACATGTACGGCAGTTATTTTGTAAAGAATATATCTCTCAAGTCAACTCCAATATTCCAACTCCGAGAAAACAGCGATTTATAGTCACTTATGTTCAGTGAGGTCCGACCGCACTAAAGCGCACCTTCAACAGGTAGGTATAAAATACTGTGAGCAACAGAATCTCGTTCGATGATCGTAGTAGGTCAACGCTGAAGAAATCAGTCTTGAATTAAATGCGGTGACGGTAATTTAGTTAGATTGTATCAGTAACGGAATGTCAATATCTAATGACATGACATATATCCCACGGCAACAGTGGATTGAAGTGTACACTGGACGCGAGACAATATTATATCCTCAGGCTTACAGAGTGATTCCACATACCCGAAATGAACAACTGAGTTCATTCGGACAATGACCTATTGGAGGCATGTAGAATTGCATCTTGGGAAAAATATACGACATTAACCATTGTTATTATCCAAATAAAACGCAATGTTGCCTTCCGTGGCTGACTTTTTACAACGATGACGCAATATTATGAGGTAATATTTAACGACAATGTGATTGACCTTTGACCGACAGTAAACTAGAGCACGAACTGTGGCATGTGATAATAATAGACTTCTGGAACGCAGTTTGAAAGATGATTATTCACAGTGAAAAATATCTTAAAAGTTTGTTATTTAGTTCATTCGACTGAGACTTTACTAGTGTCGT